CGTACAGCCCTGATTTGGCACCCAATGACTTCTTCTTATTCCCACACATCAAAAATAAATTACGTGGACAACGATTTTCGACCCCCGAAGAAGCGGTTGATGCATTCAAAACGCATGTTTTGGAGTTACCTCAATCGGACTGGAAAAAGTGCTTTGAAAATTGGTTCAAACGCATGCAAAAGTGTATTGATCATCATAGAGAATATTTTGAAAAACAATAAAACCAATTTCGATCCTACATATTTATTTTTTCGTTATTAGGCCAGAAATATAAATAGCAACCCTCGTAGAAGGCTATAGCTCTGAACCTCTAATGGTTACGAGGAAGATTTGCTGACCTCTAAGATGCATTGTTTAATTCACGAGATATAAATATGATCAAATTTTTAACAATGGTTTTAGTCTTAAGTTTCATTCAAAAGTTAAATAAATGTCAACGCAAAGTTAAATAAATGTCAACACATAACTCTACAATGTGGTAAAAAAATCCACAGTTTCTTATTTTGAAATTTTTGAACAAATTATACAGTTAGATGTTCATTATATTTTTTTGGTAAATGTATAAAAAATATAAAGGAAGAAATGAGTGGTTTCATTTTTGGCAGAAACCAAGCAAAAGGTATTTAAAAAAAGTTTAATGAACACTTAAATTTAATGAAACTCAAGAGTTACTTTACTTCAGCAACGTAACTTCCTTCCATAATTTGCACATTATAACGCTGGTAAAAATGTATTCAGTATTTATATTATTAGCACGTAAATTATCGACAGGTTTTCTTTTTTCAGAAAATTTCAATAATTATTTTAACTTTCAGATCGCGTTCTAACTCCTTCCTGATCTGGTAATGGACTGACTTTTTTTGTTATTTTAATTATATTTTTCAATCTATTGAAGTGATGTGTACACCCTAAATGAGGAAATATAATATGACCAAAAAGACCAGAATATGATAAAATTTACCGTGTTACTGGCTCTATGGGAACATCAAAAAGCTCGATAATTTTAATCGAAGGGCTTTGGTAATGATTTTGGTAAAAAAAAAAATGGTTTTATAATATGTGATAAAATTTAGTTATGTTATCATAATATCATAGAACATTTCCTAACCACCATTTATTTATTTAAATTTACTCTTCAGTTTTGTAATTTCATACTTAATGTGTGGTAAGAGGAACCACCATTTTTAAAACCAAAGTTTTTCGATAAACCGTTACCATTTAAAGAGAAATAAAATCAAATAAATGGCTCAGATACCATATATTTTGGTTAAATGCCGTGCAAGTTCCAAATAAAAATATTTGAAAAAAAACGCCATTTATATATTTAAATTTACTCTTCAGTTTTGTATTTTTATACTAAAAGTGTGGTAATAAGAAGTATAATTTTGAAGATCTAAGTTTTTCGGTAAACCATTACCATTAAAAGGGAAATACAACCAAATAAATGGCTCAGTGGTTAAATACCACATAAGTTCTAATTAAAAAATAATTCTTCAAAAAAAAATTAAAAGAAAAAAAACTTAATAAAGGCAAAATCAAGTCATTACAAATCTCAAAATCACAATTGTATTCAAATGTTTGAGCAGGAAATTGAACATTCTTACATATTTTAACAAATAAAATTCTCTTCTGACATTTTGTCTCAAAGTTTCAAATAAAAAATATTTCATTTAAAAAAAAACATAAAAATAAAAACTAAATGAACCCAAAAACTTAAATTTTAAAAACTGAAATTTAACATAGTTAATAACAAGGGCAGATAACTATAATGCATAATTTCTTAGCTTTTAAAATAATTCTAACATTTTAAATAGGAGGTTTTTATAATAAAGCAAAATCACATAGTTTGCTCCTTCACTTTAAATAAGCCCCATTCACAAGTTTGCTCTTTTACCTCCAAATGCCAATTTTTATATTTTAGATTCAGTCATTAGTTATACAGCTTATCTTGACCATTAATAATATTTCCTCCTTAATGTTCCTCCCGAAACTAAGTTTGCCTAATCAAGTTCGCCACGGCGCTAGTTACTCTGGCAATACCGACATTCATCGCCTATTTGTTCATTAAGTAAATGAAGATTTTTTCTCTACTTCATCGCCATAATAGGCTCTCGGGAATTCCAGGTTAGTACCACATGTCAACCAGACTATCAGAGAGAAAGTTCTATCCTTCCATATGCGATTATTGCTGATTGGCCATTTCGTTCTTTTCCCTATAGTTAGAAAAATTCTATCTTGAATTTAGAAAGTCACCAAGTAGCTTTAGTAGGTAGCCCAATCGGATGTTAGACAAAATTGGGTATGGATAATGCATCTATTTCTTTGAGCAACTTTATTTCTACGTTAGAATTGATCTTTAGTATAGTTACCTTTTTTTTTATTTTGTCTAATTTGCTGACTGCGAAAGAAGTCAACATAAAAGTAAATTTGCATTAAGACAAATGCTGTTGAATAAAGTACAAATTAGGATTCTTTTTACCCGAAGGTAAATTTTATCATACTGTTATTATTATTATTATTCATAAACATAAGAATTGTTTGTATTTTATGCATATATTTCGATTAAGGGATTAAGATGATGCAATAAATATATTTTATTTCCAAAACTTGAACGTTTATTTTTAAGCATTATATAGTATTTCTTTAATTTGGTGTACAAATATTGTTATACTTAATGAAAGGCTCCGGGATGTTTAAGAATTACGCATTAATTATGCAGCAGTTACATGAGTCAAGTAACATCGTTTGTTTAATATTTAAAAGCGTTCATATGTTTACAATACACATTTTTTGTTTATAATATTCATTTGCAAGAGTTTGTAGTAGTTATAGTTATGTAAGAGATTATGTAGTTAAAGGAAAATAGATATTTAACACAACTTAGTTATATTTAATTAAAGAAGTATTTACATATGGTGGTAACTACACTGTATTGTAACAACATAAATTACTCGAATATTTACTAACCTATTGCAATGCCTGAAATCTCTTTTTACTTGCTTTTGTCCCTGCCAAAAATCTAGTATACCACTTTGTTTCACAATAATACTGTTTTATTGCTTATGAGGAAACGTTTTTAAACGCTCAAATATATTTCCCTTTTAAAAAAATATCTAAAACCATTTATCTTAAATTTCTTAGGGATTCTACTACTCTATATACCTGCATAATTTTGCCTTTCAAAGTGCTATAGTTTCTGCGCTGTAAAAGTAATAATAATATTATTAGGTTAAATCCTTAAAACAGCGTCAGTGCTTACTATTATTCAATATAACGAAATATTTGTCGAAATATGATTTAATTGAACCATTAGAGATATCGGATAAACCTAATTTGTTTTTTAATTGTTTTTGTTTGTATACATAAAATATATTTGACGTAATAAGCAGTGTTTAAGTTCTTGATATAATGAAAGCAAATTTTATAATATAATTTTGCAATGAAAGAAAAAAAAACATTTTGACTTTTTAAAACAAAAACCGCAAAAGTGCTAAAATATTCCGACTTCTGACTTAAAATTAAAAAAATGTCTCTAATTCAGTGATTGTGTTTGATTCATGTGTGTAAGGAAAAAAGATATATACTGATCACTTATTATAAATTATATTATATTTGCAAATATATTGAAATACACGTTTGAGATCTTTTTTTAACGTAAAGTCTGAAATATGCTTTTCTTTCTTAACAAAAAGTCCCTTACTAAACAAAATCTCTTAAATATGGGTCTGTAGGCTTCCAGAATGTATTGAACAGGATAAAAGTAAGTGAAAGAAATAGATATGCTTGAATTTGAAAGGAAATTCCATGGTGATAAACTGTTTTCCGACGAAGAAGAACTATTTTGGAGGAAGAATCGGTCTCAAAAGCTCAAAAAGAGGATGAAATATTTCAAGTATGTAAACGGGTTTTTCAAACACCCTAAAGTGTATCCCAAAATATTTGAGGTGTGGAGAGTTTTAGAAGTCAACGATATATTTTGAAACTTTTGAATTTAAGCACATTGGATATCCGATAAACAAGGTATTTGTTTATTTCTTTCCTTCTATATTTTCAATTCTGTTTAAAATCCTCTTTTTTTTTCCTAAATAATTTCTACCTTGTGAACAGAAAAATAAAATTAAAATTTTATTTTCCCCTAAATTACTTCTGTAATGTTAAAAGTGTGTTAAAATTTTAACGTAACGTGTAAATTCAGTTGAACGAAAGTGAAATTTATTTCATTTGAAAAAATAGGCCTAAAAATGATGAAATGTCATAGAATGAAATGAAACGCAATGCATTGGGCAGAGAAAAGAATTGAAGATAATGGAACAGAAATCAAAAAGAAGGGAAAAAAAAACCGCGTTAGAATGAGTAATAAATAATTGAAACGATTCATGATAAACAATAGAAAGAAGTTTAAATGGAATGAAAAGTAATATGAAATTAAATTGAATGTGCCAAAAATTGAAGTAAAATGGAATATATGAAGAATAAGAATAAAACAGAATATATGAAGAATTGTAAAGAAATGGTATGTATGAAGAATTAAAATCAAATGAAAAAAAATATTCAATAGAATTGAAACAGAAATTGAAAAATATTATCGAATGTAAAACTCAATTAATGAAATGGTGAATCAAATGGAATGGCAAGGGGAATGAAATAGAAGCTGAAATATCACGTAAATGCAAATGGAATAAAAAAAAAATGCAAGGGCACGTAGAAGGAAAAGAACGAAAACAATTGAGTGGAGAATAGAATTTCAAGAAATAAAATTTGAAATGCTATGGAGTGGAGAACGAGATGGAAGAGAATGAAAAATGAAATTAATACAATGGAATGGAGGATAGAAAGGAAAATGAATTGCAGTGAACTGAGAATATACATGAAATTTATACACAAACAAAAAATAGAGTATTATCAAATAAATGTTCACGTTTTGTTTAACCCAACAAAAATATCAATCGAAACTAAAACGATTAAGGTAAGAAAATATTTTAAGAAAAGAGGTTACTTACGGTTGAGGTCCAATGTGACGGAGTAGGAGGTTGGAACGGTGAGGTTGTTGTTCGCTGCCTGGCAAGTAAAAATGGCAGAAAGGTCGGAACGTTTTAAACGGATAAGAATCACGTCATTTCTAACGTATCCTTGCGTGGTGATGTGGTAGGTATCATCAAGCAGAACAGAATCACGCCACCATGTCACTGAAGGTGAGGGTGATCCTAAAAAAATAGATTGAAATTCATAATTGGATATTTTCTTTCGAATAAAACTCTATTTCATACAATGATAGAAATTTTGGAGCGAGTTCAACCACGATATCGTTAAAACTTTATGCAACCTTAACCCCTTCCTTCTCTGATTTCGTGGTGAGGTTTCGCCCTCCATTTCTCGCTTCCTGAAATTTCCGGGCTGGAGTGCTCAGTAGTAATGCGCCAAAAAGATTAAAAACATATATGGCAACGTTACTTTTGAAAAGTAACGAGTAAAAGTACAAGTATTTCTAAAAAAAGTAACGAGTAAAAAGTAAAAAGTTCTTATTTTAAAAAGTAACGAGTAAAAAGTACAAGTAAAAGTACAAGTACTAAACAAAAAAAGTAACGATTTAAAAGTACATTTCTAGGAAATCGAAAATTCAAAGTAACCTAAAATTTTATTGAATAATATTCTTATGTTCTTTAATGTTTTTGCAAAATTGTTGTTATTTATTTAATTATTTTTAATTTTGAAAGTTATGGACATTAATTTATTTTTAAATTCGGAAGAATATTATAATATAATTTTATAATATAATCGTATAATATAATTTTAAAATCAAATATAATTTTAATATCAAACTTTTTATGGATTTGCACGAAAAAGAAATTTTATCTATTGATTTTAATTTTTAGTTTATTATTTTTATTTATTTAAATTACCATTGATTTAAAATTGTTTTACTCTATAGAAACGCGTTTTAAAAGCACAAACATAAACAAAGCAAACACGGGGTTTCAGATAGCTTTGTGATCTTTGAGCTAGTAAAAAATAATTGAATGTGCAGTATAAGTTGAAACAGAAGGTATTTAAACACGAAGTTAGCTGTGAATGCATATATATTGCACATTAATTTTATAAATTAAAAAAACATAAGCATTTTTTTTAAATTTAATTTTTTGTTTTTTTAGAAAGCTTACCGAGTTTTAGAAAAAAGTAACGATTTCATTCGATATTTCCGTTACAAATACTTGTACTTTTTCCCTAAAAAAGTAACGAAAGTACAAGTAAAAGTACTAAATTTAAAAAGTAACGAAGTACAAGTAAAAGTACGTACTTTTTACTTGTACCGGCGGTACAAGTAACGAAAGTAGAAGTACTGCCATGTATGATTAAAACTAATTCATTTCTTTTGTCCAGAAAATGTTTTATTTCTCATTTAACACACCAGATGGCAGCACCAGGATATTTTAAGGTAATTGTAGATAGTTAGTATATTTTAAATTAGATGTCAGACTAATAAAATGCGTGTAATTGGCAAAATAGGTACTTTTATGATAATTTTTTGGAAAATTAACCGATCGTTAAAGGGTTAATGTGACGCTTAGTTGAACCGTACTATCGTTATTCTTAAACTTTATTACACTATAATATATTCAGCTTGAAGAAAAGCATAGTTTAATTTTACCTCTTATTACAATTTGAAGCAAATTTGCAAATTCACGACGAGTGAATGGTTGTATTATTTCAGATGTTCAAATACAAGCAAAACTAAATGAATTTAAAAAGATTAATGCTCTAAATGTAGTAAATTTTATAAACAACTGGTTTAAACTCAGTGTTCGTTAAATGAGTTGTTTACAATTGAATTCTTGCAGTTTAAGTATGTTCTGTAATTCTTTCATAACATTAAAGTTAAAAATTGGTTCACTATGCACCTTTCTGTCCGACTTTTTGTCAATAATTTTCCTTCGTTTTTCCTTATATCTAGTTTAATCTTATTTTTTTTGTTAAGAACTTTCAATAGCAATTTTTTTCTTCTTTTTTTCGCAAAAACTATTTTCTCAAAGTTCTTTTCACACAGAAAAGAATTATCACTTTCTTCTCTAAAGTGCTTCTCTATGGGATTATGCTGCATGGTGATATAAGAATAAATAGAAATATCTTCAATATTATATAATATTATAGGGACTTAAATGATAGGTATTTATTTTCATTTGAAATACTTCTGCTATACATTGGTATGTGCACGAAATAGTTTTTTTTGTTTTATTATAAAATTGAATAAATAAGTAAAAAAAAATTTAGTGTATTTTAAAGTTTATTTCATTTTTTCATAAAAAAAAAGAAGTGGGAAACTAAGTGGAAAATGGTTCTAATTTACATTTTATAAAACTTAGAGAAAAAATTAGCAATGATAGGGAATTTCAGCAGAATACATTTTCTTAATAATAAGCATTTTATTTCATGATTTAGAGGGGAAAAAATAAGTTAATTTCATTTTAACGTGCTTTTCACTCTAAGACTTCGTGCATTTTTAAAATGTCGCATAATATCTTCAACTGAGCTCTTCAATTGATTCTAAAATGCACTGTGTAACTTTGCTTGCTAGAATAATACCCTTACAGTTTGCTTACAATTAAAAATTTTCTGAAATATTGTTAAATTTTGAAACAGACCAAAGTTTTTTGAAGACATTTCATTCTTAATTTAAAGTCAATTCCCACACATTAAAATTTCTTAAGTATTAGGCTTTAATTAAAAAAACATGCATCTCAATCCAAAAGTGTGATTGATTGTCAGTAAAATTTTGAAGCTCTTTCTGAAAATTCTCCTTCAACTCCGTTTCCCCCGGAAATTGAACGGGGATTGATGTTTTTCTACACAAATCTTGCTTAACAGTGAGTTGTCAGATTTCAATAGTATTTCTTCCTTCATTTATAGTATTTTGTCCTATTCTTACAGTATTTTTTACTTTCTTTAGCACTAATTTGTAACCATCAATATGTACATTTTTGTGGCCATTTTTGGCAAGAGTTAAAAAATTTATCTTAAGAGTTGTCATTACTGAACACCCCATGCACCCAGGGAAGAAGTTTCATTATAAACTCTAACTGAGGTCTTATCTATATTGGATATAGAACGAAGATTTGTTAATGATATTTCATTTAAGCGTTAAAAACAATTGCACAAGACTACGGAAAAACTATTCTTAAATGACAAACGCTCAAAGCGACGGAAAGAGCTATAAGCCCAATTTAGGATTTAACATTAAAACAAAGTTATGTGACATAAAACAAAATTATATCTACTAAAACAATACTGTGTAATTTTAGTTTTAAAGCAAACTCTCTGAACATGAACATGAAAACAATATTTACGAATGTTTTATAAAATCTATACTATTTCAGTTTAAAAAATCCAAACATCTGAAGGAGATTTGTCTATTTTTTTCGCTCCATTTATAGTGTATACTTTAGGGTTCTTTCGAAGTTTTTTCATTTTCTGGAAATGGATATATTTTTCTCTCTTGAAAATTGAAAATTCTTCCCATTCTTTCGTATCACTGAATTTTTCGACTGAATATAAAGCTCGTAGCTCAGATTGGAACAAGGTGAAGTTATCTTATGTTTATGCTGGGAAATGTCAATACCAAAAGGTTGTGAGTTGTCACCAGCTCCACCTACAGAGAAACTATAAAACTAAATTATGCAAGCTATTAGCTTAGTTGCTTATGCACTTAAGTCTTTAAAACCGGTATTAGTCTCCACTGAAAGATCCTTTTCAATGAAAATTCTTTTTTGTTTGTCACTTAACTCCCATTTCATAACACTTCAGTCACTTAACCAAAATTTTTAGTAAAAATATTTAATACTACATATAAAGAATTGACTCATTAAATAAAATGTATTGGCAACTGATAATGTATTGACTCAGAAATATTTTGATTCATTCTATGTCATTGTTCTAGGACTCGTGTGGTAAATTGAAAACATTCTGGTATATTCAATCTCGTACTTTTACCACTATTAGGATTTTCATTCAACAATTATGGTAAAATAACAGACAGCAGTCTGTCCATCCAATAAACCGTAAAGTTTACTGTAAAGAACTTCTTTTATCTTTACGATTCTGAAACCGTTTACATTTATTATGGTTAAAAGACCATACATGCGAAATTGTACGTTTTTTTAACCATTTACAGCTAACATGGTTTCAAAACCATAAAAAATAATTTTAACGGGACATTGAAGATAGTTTAGCAGCTTTATGGTGCTGCCATCTATGCGTGAATGAGAGTATCGTATTCTAATAGTCCAGGCTCACAAACTAGAGAGTGCAGGGCACAGGCAAGTCTTCATATGTTGATGAGAATGGAGGAAATATTGTGGTGTCAACATTGGGACTCAAAACCCCGTTCTGTCTCCGTCGGTCATGAGATTGACAGAATAGCCCACTCGGCTACAATATGTGTCCAGCTGTAAGGAGCTAAGTTTCCTCATTCGGTTGGCCTCGTTGGTGTGATAAATTTCTGGTTGTTTAACCGTATTAGGTTAAAGCAGTTAATAAATGGTTGTTCACATGGTTAGCCTTTTGAGTACCATCCTATTACGGTTATTTGACAGTTCTGTTTGAATATGATAAAATAACAAATAACAATCAATTGTCATTTAATTATTTTTTCCAAGAAATTTCTAACAGTGCATTATTATTCCATTGATTAAGTTTATTTTTAAGTGATTATAAAGTTTTAAATATAACCTATCAAAAAATATAAAAAGAAGAAAAAATACGATGCTGGAATTCGTAATTTGTTTTAAATAATCTATTAGATTCTAAAAGAAATAATAACTTTTTATATTATGATCAGTTTTATAATGCAAAATTAAATAAAGAATAATTGAGTATAATATTGAATTTCATTACGAAATAAGGAATAATTAAATGTCCTGTTATATTTTTTAACATTTTATAATGTATTTACATGCTCTTTTTTTCGCAAAAGTTTGATTTTGCAAAATAATTACTATTATTTAATACTCATTCATATTTAATAAACTCCGCAAAAAAACTAAGATAATAGATTTTTCATTATTTTGTAAGAACCGTGATTAAAATTGAAATATAGAAAACAGGAATTTTGGCTTTTAAATTTACTTTATTTAATAAAATATTAATAACTATAATACAAAACTATTGTTAATACAGTTTTATGTCCATAAATTTTGTTAATTAGCAAGTTACAGATGTAAAGTAGAAATTTGAATAAAAAATAAGTATACGTTCTTATAGATGCAACGTAACGAATTTATCTTAAAAACTAAATGTTTCATGTTAATTAAGTTCAAAGAATTAAACCGAACTACCTTTAATTAAAATAAATTCGAAATGAAATAAATTTACGATTTTACAATCTTCCTTTTAAGATTAGTTCCGCTTCTTTAATTAAGAAATTACTGTTTTTAATTTCTTTTAAATGTCATTTTCAGGATAAAAAACGACTTTTAATTTCGTTTAATTTCATTTTGCCCTGTTGATTAATCATAAATGCATTTATGGTTTTTTTCTTACGCGTATAGCTTCGTATCATTTGCAGTCAGGATTTTTGAAAAAAAGGAACTACTTTCGAAATGAAAATGTTCTATTTGCAAAAGAGATAAAAACTTGATACTTTAAGCTGGGTAAGTGCTTATTATGTTTGATTTAGTTTAATTTCGAAAAGAAGTTTACGATGTATTTCTGAAAATAAACAATAATTTAAATTTTAGCACTAAAACATTTTTCTAAATTATGAAATATTTCACCGTTACTTTTTATTTTGGAATTATAGGTAAATAAATTTATTATTATGGCGCTTTAGATATTCAGATCACATATAACCTTTAAATGTAATTTTTCTGTAAATTCAATTTAAATAATGTATAATTCATTTATTTATATATCCTTTATTTATTTTTTAAAACTTGTTTTATATTTGACCAAACATGTTATAGCACCTACTATTTTTCTATGCAAGCGTTTGATTTTAACAAAATTTATAATAAATAGCCTTAACATATTGAAGAAATGACCAGAATTCTGGAATTACAAGTGTCTAATTTTACGCAATTATGCATGCACAAAATATTATGTATACTGATTTTTTTAAAAGGGTATAAATACATTTAAAAAAAACTTTAAAACTTTTTTTTGAATTTTATTGACTAATTTTTGATTTATGGCATTGTTATTTGTAATTTTATCTATTAGGTTACTATTGCAGCGTGTGCTGTAAAAATTGCTTCAAATAGGCAAGATAAACCCTGGAGCTGAACAAAATCACAATAAATTACAATATCGAATATATGAATAATTTATCAACTACTTTAGGTAAATTTTAAAAAAATTAAAAATCAAGAATTTAAACAGTTTAGTTAGATAACTTATAGCAATATAAAGAATTTAAACAGATTAGTTATAAACCATATACAAAATAAAAATACATTGAACAAATTTAAAAAGTGATCCTAATGAAAAAAGTATGATAATTTATTTAGTTTATATGTTTAGTTATATTTCAGAGAATGTGAAGGTAAGTTAATTTATTTTTAAAAGTTTATGTGTTTCAAAAAATGTATGAATTTTTGAAAATTCCGTTCTTGTATTTTTTTTCAAAACAAAAGTCATTCATTCAATTTCAAATTTTCATAATTCAGTTCGAAAATAATTAGTAAGTAATATAATTTTGATTTGAGAGAATAGCTTACTTTACTGGAAGTGTTAGGTTTAAAAACCAGCATATTGCACAGATAGCAGAAGTTTTTTTTCATTTAATTTTTTAATAACAGCTCCTTCTCTTTAAATTATCTTCTAATGGTAATTAAGCATAAAGTGGAAATTTATCCCATTTCATTTTCAAAATTGAATTTGGGATACAAATTTTTCAACTTTATAAACAAAGCTAAAAATGTTTTTAAAAAGCAGCCGACATTTTTACGTTACAAGCATTAATTATGTGCCACTTTTACATCTCTCTTGTTTTATTTCGATTATATGAATTTTAAGTATCGCAAAAAGCAAATTAAAGTTATGAAAATGATATAATTCATACTGTTATTGGAATTTCTTGCACAAGCAGTAATCTTAAAACTATTCAAAAACTACTTTTGCAAGACAATTTATGATGAATTATGAATAATAATTATGAATGAATTAAAATTTCTAAAAATTATTTGGATTGTTTTGCAAGCAATATTGAGTTAAATTCTATTGTTTATTACAAAATACTCATCCAAAAATTGGGAATCTAACATAATGGTCTTTCCTTATGAAATGAATGTTCAGTATCTCCGAGACAATTACTAAGAAAAAGGTAAATACATTTGTAATAGAATTACTGACCACAGAAGAAAATTATTCCTTATTAATGAATGATAATGAATAATTTTCTTAAAAAGTTAGCATTAGCAAATCGCAAAGTGTTTTATTCCTTGCATTGTTTTGAAAAAATCTAAATCTACATTTGAAATACTAATCAAGGTGAAATTAAAGGTTTTACCCATTTTACCTGAAGCATATTTCTGGACAGGAATCTTATCAATTTCTAAAATATTTCAAACTTTTTTACTCACTGTTTTTTTAAAGAATAAATCCTCTGTTAATCAGACGGAACTCAATCAAATAACAACTCGAAAAGCTATAATCATCAAAGTTAGAATATATTCTATTACATATTCATTTAAAATTATACTTAAAAAATGTCAGAATTTTTTTTAAAAAAACAATATACATAAAAAAGTTTATTTTACATGACTAGGATCATGAAAAAGATATTTGGCATAGTTTTCATACTTTTATTTTAACGTGGTTTAAAATTTTGGTAATTCTCATTTCCAATTTCTCGTTACATTTTTCTCCATGCATCAAAAGCATTTCCTATGCTAATGGAGAGGCAAACTTTTAAAGGAAAAAAGATGTCTCATAAATTTAACCATTTGCGTGTCCAGAAAAAAGGTTAAATACCTATTTTACAGTTACACGAGAAACTCAAAGTTATAAATTTTAATGCAAAAAATAAAAGTAAGAAATAAAATTTGAAATTTTCATGCAAAATAAACAACTCCACCGGCAATAAAAAATCCAATGAATGACCGAAAAACATGTCTCATAAAAAATCAATTCGCACATATAGAACGTGAAATATAGGAACAGATACAAAAATTATTCTTAAAATGGCTTTGGAGGTGAAAGTTTCTTACATTTACCACCAGAGGGTTAAATAGATAATTTTACACCTACCGTAAAAAGCATTGATGTAAGTTATAAAATTTAATGAACTCTCTGTCTGCAAGAAATATTTTGAAAAATTCTGGTTCATAAACTATTCTGAACAATCTTATTTAACTGAAAATATTTTAAATAAAAAGAAATCAATTCTCACATATAAAGCTGTAACTATGCGAACGGATACAAAAATTATCGACATAATGTTTCAAAAAGTTTGAATTTATGTTACCTCCTTCTGCTTCGCAAATGAGAGTCACGTTGGAACCTTCATCGACTGGTCCGATAGTTTCTTCAATCCTCTGCCCTCGATCATCCATTATATTGACCTCCCGCGGGGGAACTGCAAAAAAAAAAAAGAAAACGAATAAAGTTCTTGTACATGTACCATGCATTGACGATGCTAACTTTGAAAGTATTTCGAACAAAAAAATACTTGAATAATTTTTCGACATACATTTCAGATAAAATTACAACAATTCAGTTTCATATACATTCGAAATCATTCCTCGTTTGAGTCACAATGCAGAGGAGCTTTTAAATCTATCGAAGTTTTTGGAATTCGTCTCGAACAATTTGCGAATGGAAATGGGTTTTATAGAAGAACCTACTGTTATTTTTTGTTAAACTTTTTTTTAGTATTTCTAAGCATGTTTTATTATTTCTCCTTCCTTAGGAAATTGCTTATTTTTTATTTATTTATTTATTTTTTTTATCTAAGAAAGGATTTTAGATGCTATTCATGATTCTGCAGAAAGTACATTCAGGACTTTTTTTGTATTCATTCATGCAGATAATTTGAATAGACTATCAATAAGAGTTGCGAAACTCAAACAATGTACTTAAAGATTGGGGGAAGTATTGTACTAAATTTAGAATGTATAAAGAATTTGATAGTTCTTTTACCGAAAACCTGTTAAGTCACGTGACTTAAAAATATCAATTTTGGCTGAATTTATTATCTCTATTTCAGGCAAATAATTCACAATTTAAACATCATGCAAGTTTGTTTGAAGGAAACTAGAGACAGAATTCTTAAGAAAGGGTGAACGTTTTTCGCAATAAACCCGGAAGCATTTTTTGTACTATTTCCGTAAAAAAATTATCTTAACCACCAGGAAAAATTTATATAATTTCGATATCAGTTAAAAACAAAGAAAAATGTATGGTAACTATGTAAAGTACTACCAGAGTAAGATAAAATTTACTTAGTTCCTGGCAATTTCTTACCGAAATGCTTTGGTTCTGACTTTCTTTATAAAAAAAAATTAACAGGTACTTTATTTACGTTGCACTACAGCTGCACAATGGGCTATTGGCGACGGACTGGGAAACATTTCTGAGGATGATCTGAAAACAAACCATCGCAATTTTGATCTTCTGCAAAGAGGATTTCCTTTGCGTGAAGTCACTTCCCTAGTTTAGATATTAATCTGAAGGGGAAGGAAATTTTCACCAGATCCTTTAGCGTACCCATATTAATTTTTCTAACCAGAATTACAATACCTAGCTTAGCGACCGACCACAGGACTTTCAAATTCCGCAAATTTAGAAGCACTTATATCGTATATTCTCTGAGGATCTTAGCTGTGTCGAGGATCGAACCCCTGCCCCTCCGGACCAGAATCAAATTCTCTAACCAATTGGCTATCACGGTGAGGTAAAATTATTAATACAATATGGTTTTTATCACTATGCTGTTTGGTATTCACTGTGGTAAAATTTCGTAATTTTAACAATACGTCAATAGTTTTAACAGTACTACTGTAGTGTAAGATGTTAAAAAAGTTCAGTTTGCTAACTATGAAAATATGTTAACTTTGTTTCGTGTCGGAAAATAGTTTTGTACCTATTTGAGCTATAAGTTAAACTACATCCATAAAATATGGCTAAAACCGTAACTTAGATTGATATATCTGAGTTTAGTATCGCTAAAACACTTTATTTAAATATCTGATGCCATAATTTATTTCCCTTTCACCCTTGGTCCCGCAGTGGACTGATCGTAAGGACACGGTTCCCAGTTAAACACCGAAGTCAAGCAGCATTGGTTGCTGTCAGTATACTGGTGGGTGACCACTTTGATCAGCCTGTCCTCGTTAAAGTGTTCTACCATAGAGATCCCGACATCGGGTGCAGGTCATTTTGGATTATTTTGTACTATTTTGGATCATTCTGGATTATTTTGGATTGAATAATTTTGGATAATTTTATAGCGATACCTTTAAGCCTGGTACGAAAATCATTTATTCGGTTAAAATAAATTGTTTTTAATTGTATGGTAATAAGAACTGTAAATTTTAAAACCAGAATTTCCGCTAAACCGTTACCATAGCAAACGTTGAAATTACAAAACTAATGGTTTAACACTAAAACGACCGACATTTTCACCTACTCAGAAAAACAATCACGGTCATTATGACCACAATAAGAAAATAAGCTCAAATATTTGATTTTTGGTTCAAATGTTCTTAATTAGGTCAGAAAAGAATAATTTTCAATGATATTAAAATTTATTTTCAGGAAAAATAGTAACAACATCATGAAGCAGTTAAATATCAATCTAGATATTAGCAATAAATTTGAAAAAAAAAAGTTTATGTCGAAAATATCTTAGTATTTTCAACAAATAGATTTTACAAATAGGCAAGACGGACATTTTTGTTTTGTGTCGGCAGAAAAAACATTGACGGCGTTTATTCTTTGAAGTTTTAGGAAAACCGGGGGAAAAGAACAAGCAAATAATTCTCTCCCCCCCCCCCCATT